TTTTCTGATTCCGCTCTTTTTTTGCCAAGCGTCCTAGGTCCAGAAAATAAAGCACGGCAAGAACAGGGAAAAGACTATAAAATTCACCTGTAATAACGTCGCAGAAAAATGAAGAAATCGGATGGGAAGCGGCAGACAAAAAAAAGAATCGGGTAGAACTGAGAGAAGCGACAGCCGGAGCAAAAGAAAAAGTTGGGGGAACCGAGAGAACGAACCCGAAATCAGAAAACCAGATTTACTACTAATTTAAATTCTTGGCATACAAAATATTCTAAAAAACGCAAAAAAAATCCACAAATGCGGAAAAAAAAAACAAAAACAAAAATACATACTGTGTATTGATAAACGAAACGAAGCGAAAATGGTTTTTGTTGGCTAAATATTGACGGGCACTTCCACATAGATCGAACACCCCTATATCTCCCGGTAAACCGCCCCCAGCATTTCCGTTTCCTCTGAACTCTTTTCGCATCTGATGGATTGAGAATTGTTTTATCTGCCTGACGTTTAAAGTACATTTCTTGGTCCCAAAAAGGCAAAGTAAAAACATTTAGTCATCGTTGGACACAAAGGAAATGTTCAAGAACTTTAGTCACTTCGTATCGATTTTCACTGGCTCGATATTCCTTTATTCGTTCGCTAGAGCACGTGTAAAGGTGTACACAAATAAGTCTTATTCACAAGTCGGAGCTGATAATTTTATATGGTGGTGTTTGTATTTGGCATTATGTTAATCAACTGGCGAAACAAATACGTACAGCCGAATCGTCATTAATTATGCATTTATTTTGAGCGTCTCAGGCCGCTGGCTGTGACCACATTTGATATGAAAACCTCGATTCGTATTTCGAGAAACTGAAAGTTGGCCTAAAAACACAGTTAGGAATTGCCCCTGGCCGTGCATTGTAGTTGGGCTGGGTTGGGGTCGTGCTTACCGCCTTAGTAGACCGACTTCAGTCGCTACTATCAGCCAGATGTTGGTTTTACACTATGAATATTTCAATAAAAACTTATCATGAACCCATGAGGTGAAAAAACATTTGTCCTATAGAGACCAGCTACTAAAAAAGTAAAGGAACACAACAATATAACATGCAAGTCTTATGATAATAATTAGAAATGATATTACTGGCCTTATATATATTCTTTAAGTTACTCTAATGTATTTAACTATCTTGAAAATTGCGCTCTAAGATATAAATACATAATTCTATACCTTATAATGTAATAATACAACTAAAAATGAAAATTGAAAACGTTGTACATAAGAAAAATCTTAAAAACTTCTTGTAGTATATGAAATCTAACCATAATATGTAGCTTTCATTTTTTTTTAAACTAAACACTGAGATGAAAAGTATATCGGCATTATTCGGCAGATAAGGAAACACTTAATCAAGAGCATGTGGTATATGTTTTCAAACGTTGAACTTGTCTTCAAAATCATTTGCTCGACACTCCCCAGACCACTCGAAAAGACCCAATTCCCCATGCCAATCATGAATATATGAGATGAATTCCCACATTCTCCGGCGACACGCCCTCTCTTTCGGACAGACAAAAGCCCCACTTGAGAGGTACGAGTATTTGTATATCGGGGACTGGATGGCAACAGTTTGCGGGCGATTAACGAACCAGAAGTCGCACTTGACTTGCCCGAAGCCGGGATGACATACAAAAGAGCCATTCAAGACCAGCCTAGAAGATGGCAGCCCGTGGAAGCGGCCAAGAGGAAGACGAATCATGATCATCAGCGACAATTACCGCACTGTAACTACGCAGCATCCGCAGCAGCAGCAGCAGCAATAATAATGTAAACGGGCTGCGTGCAAAGCCGAGCAAAAAAAACAGAGCCACATAGATACACAAGAAGCGGGTCTCCAGATGGACCCCGCCCCGAAATCCGGGGTCTACTCATCTGGAAGCTTGTTTTGCCGCTCTGCCCGCTGCGACGCGTCTTTAGCAAGTGATTTCAATTTAATTGACAGTCCTTGAACTTGACTTAAACGCAACGCATAACACAAACAACAATAATAATAAAAACAGCACAGCACTACAGCCACAACATCTCTTCACTCTCGATTCGCCATTCTGCGAAGTACAAGTCCCCCGGCTCTTGGGGCTAAAGTATCTCCCCTTTGCGGGGTCTTTCGCTTTTAGATTCCATCAAATTGATATTAATGCTGGCCGAATTATTTTCGATTTTTCGCAGCTCTAATTTTTATGGATTTTTAATGCACGTGTTCTAATTAACGATATCATAAATATAATACTAAATGTTTTAATATCCTATTTATATTAAATGCACATTTGTAAAATTTAAAAACACCAAATGTGCTGACATAATATAATATTAAAATATAAATAATTTTAAAAATTAATAACCCTTTATTGTTTTTAAATGACTAAGCGAAAGTCATTTCTGAAAGTATGAATATGAATAGAGTCCGAAGGCCAGTAAGAACCGGTTTTTTTTGATAAAAACCCAAATGTCTATTCTTAGTTGACTTAAACTATAATTACAAATGAGTAGTCTTAATTTTATATATTTCACAGGCTAAGCTTCTATTTTTAACAACAAACAACTAACCATCAAAACTTTGCAGACAAGAAATCTATTTATAAAGAAATCTATAAATTTCAATTTTAAGAGGTTGTACTATTGAAACATCTAACTTAATATAAACTTAAAATATATTCCATTTTTTTAGCTTATAATAATTAAAAAGATATACAAATATGTATATAATACTATATATGCATTTAAAACAACGAAGATTGATGACCTTTGCATTATTCTCTTAAAAATGTGAGTTTAAATATATGGAATAATATTATAATTATGAAGAATTTAGTGAATTGGTTTCCTGAGAAATTCGAAAGACCCTTACATCCGGAAGGGACTTCGAAGTTCACTACATCCAACAGATATGTCCGCCCTTGTGCCTCCTCTTATTCATCTTAATCTGCATTGCCCTCCTTCTTCTTCCTTTGTTGACAAAGTTGAAGAGCAAAACCACACAAAAAGGGGCAGCCGCAAAAAGTTGCCCATTTGCGATTTCAGCACACAGTATTTTACGGCTCTTCTCGTCGTCATATTTTTTGGCAAATAAATCTTTTTAAAAACAACAAGCGAAACACCGACACATACCTACAGAAACCGGCGGATATACAATGTATGTATGTGGATATGCATATGTATAAACGCATTTGTCTATATAAAATCGTATCATCGGCGCATATATAATTTATTTTGAAAGCGTGCGTACGCCACGCATTTTATGCCGCCTGTCTTTTTGGGCCTAGACAAATGGCTGTCCGAACGGCAAACACAGCGATACATATACCATATAGACTTTCATTCAATGAATTTTGATATTTTTTGGCTTAATTGTTTTCTAGCCGAGAGGCCACCGAATTCTCGGGGAGATCTATAAAAATTTACAATTATGACTCGGCAAGATATCTCAGATATCGACACGTGTCTCTGAAGTTTTCTATCATTTTTTTGTCCGCTTCTTTTTCCCCCATTTCGGTTTCTACTTCACATTGTGTATACGCCCCGTGGGCTCGGAGTAAGTTTTGTGAGATAAATAGCCACAGGTGACAAAAGATGTAAATGCACAACTTGATATTCAATAGATAAGGCCACAGTCCAGTAAAGTAAATGAAAGAAACATGGAGCCGCAGAAGCGAGGCGTACCCATGCAAAAACTTTCACCCGCAAATGATCTACGGGCCGAAAGAAAGACTTTCGCATTGAGAGCGCTCGCCGGCGGTACGCACATCTAATTACCGCACTCGAAAATGTGATTAGAAATCAGTTCTCGTCGCCGAAAAGAATCGAGAGAGTGCCCCAGCACTCGGCAGAATTTTATAGTACCTACATACATAGCAATAGTACTTTCACAACCGTTCAAATTCAAGTTCATGGCGAGGTTTGCAAGGGTTTCGGATTCGATTGCGATTAGGCATTCATATATGTGTTCCCCAGTGATTCGGGTACTAATCAGTGACGCCGCGTTGATAACTAATACGAAAAGCGTACGATCCACCGGCTCTATAATGAATCGTGCGTGGATCGCACGCACAGGAAAACTAAATTTTGATTTCTTCGTTTCTGTGTCAACGAACCCATTTGAACTAAATTCTCTTTTATGATATTTCGGTTTTTTTCGTCTGATTTCTTGTGTTTTTTTATTGAAAACTTTCGGGCACGACGGTGCGTGCGGCGTTATCTCAAAAAAAAGTCTATTGCGTAGGCCGATTTGAATGCGTTTAGAAAAGAAAAGTTATGGCAGAGCGCGCCCCTCTTTTGGGTCGATTAGAAACCAGGTGATTGCGAGCGATATCGGCTGGGAATTTACATATATTGAGATATTTTAATCAATCTATAAATGTTACACATTAATAGGAGCTAGTTCCCACGATTAAAGCGATAACGCGCGTCGTTTAAAACTATCTATATCGTTATTAGCCCCAGGCTGCTTTTATGTAAGAGCGTTTAAGATAACATATATTATCCATTTTTAAACACCTTAACATCTAAATACTTTATTTTATTAATTATGTTAGTTTATGAAGAGCCCACAGAAATAGGAAAATGGTTTATAAAGACTATGCTACATATCTGTATAATGATTAGCAGAGTTTCACCTTAAAAAATGGGAATATTTTTGAAAGAGTTCTTTTAAAATAAATTAAATAGATTACAAATACGTTTTATGTTTAGTTATATAGATTTTTAGGGGTTCCCCTCTTAAGAGACCCAGAATGCTTGATCTGCTAAAGATTTCTGTGTCATCTCAGATTGCAAGTTGCAGTGCCCTGTTATTGTCACATAGCGCTGATAAGGATCCCAGACGGGGATGAACCTATTTAACAAAAGAACCGCCCCAAGCTGATATAGAACAATGAGATTTTAAGAATAAATCCCCTCGTAGGTGAATCCCATTGGGATGTTTTCCGATCCTATAAAAACGCAAACCAACCTTGGGTCACCATCAGTTTGACTCAACCAATTAGACAGCAAAGATGTCCTCTAATAAGTGCGGAATCGTGATCCTCATCGCCTGTTGTCTGGTGGCTCTAGTGGCCTCTTATCCTGAGCCGTATCCCGAGGAGTTCTGGACCAATCCCGAGAATCTTCTCGAGGAGGCTCTCTTGGTTCGCCGTGCTCGGTCGCCGGAGGGCGGTTCCCTAGTCCTGTCCGCCAGCAAGGACGACCAAGTGGGTCGGGAGGCCAGTCTTCAGTACAACCACAATCTGTACTCCAGTCGCGATGGGCGTGGCAGTATCGACGCCTACGCCCAGGCCAGCCGAAATTTCGACCACAATCGCAACAACTACGGCGGCGGCATTCAGGGCACCTGGCGTTTCTGAGCGGGAATACAAGTATTAAATTGGTCACAAAATGATTCATGTGTATAAATAAATGTGTTTACCAAAGCGCACTTCACTCAGCGACTCTTGTTGTTTTCCCATTAGCGAGGGATCCTCCTCCGGAGTTCGAGATCCCAACGAAACCCAAAGATCTGTGCCCCTGACCAAAACAAACAGTAGCCGATGCATTGGCTATTTACTTGAAGTAACTCAACTGAAAAGACACAACAACGGGGAGCAGAAGTGAGGGAAATATTAAGAAACGAAGAGCAGTTAGCTGTACTTTAAACACTCTTTATGGGATTTCAGATGCTTTAAAGATCGTTTTTCAGGGGTATTTTATTATACAAAAAATACAACTTACAACCTTTAAAATCGTTATAAAAGCGAGTTAATTGTTAAAATCATAATAAGAAAGGTTTCATATAATATATTTTTTAATTGACACTTTTACATTAAATCTCTTAAAATTCTTTTCCTATTATATTAATAAAATATTTTTATTTAATTTTAATATTTTATCAGAACACATAGTCTTCTAAAGTAATTTTTATTTGTAAAACTTTGAAATATATTACTTAGTTGTCACTAAAATGACGGTTTACAAATTCTAAAACTCTCTCGCATTACATTTAAAAATTATTTTAAATATTTTTCTAATACTTTATTGGATCTAATGGTTTTCTTAAGCAACGTTTTTCAATAAAACTATTTCAATTGATCAAACATCCAAGGGTATTACCTTTAATAAGGAGCCGTAGGGCTCGAATCTTATATATTATATGTTATATCTAATTTTCTAAAATAGTTCGGTTATTTATCCTTAATACATTTCCTGTCAACTAAAAATACCTATATTAACTTTACTTCCCCTTCGGTTGCAAGCTGACCGGGTAAATTCGGCGTACTCCCTATGAAGTGTATGCCGAGAAGTACTAAAAGTCATGAGTCGTCGCCGGGGTCAATGGACTTCTCCTTCGCTGCTGGCGTCGTTGTTGTGTAACCAATAAAAATTGATTCTGTTGCGTGTGTGCCGAGGGGCAGCGGGGGCGTGGCAGGAAGGGGCGGCGAATTACGCACACTGCAACACAATTGCTCGCACACACACACGTACAGTCGAGGGTCTGTTAATGCAATTGGGGGTTGCTGCATTTATCGCTCGCTTTCTTGGGGAATTCTTATGGGAACCCGTACTACATCTATATCTCCCGGTATTTGGGTGTGTACAGTGCACATACATATCTTTTAAATATATATATATCTATGTGTGGGCATGACTAAGGGTAATTACTTTCGCTTTCCGTTTGCTCAGCTGGCAAATCAATAAAACCGGCCGACGCAAGTCAAGAATACGTTAAATACTTGACCCCCTTGCACATTTTTCGGGAAAGCCGCTGCCGATGTTGTGGCAACAAAGGCGTCGTTAATGAAAAGCCACGAAAAAGGAAAAGCAATGCCTGGAAAATGACTTTCCATTTTCATTTAACAATAAGCAATCAATTGCAAGTTCATGGCACAGCTAACGATCTATTAGAAGAAAGTAAAAACAAGTAACGAAACCCATGCGAGGCCGAGTCAGAGGCAGAAACAAAAGACACACACAGAAAACCCAAGCCGACGAAAAGCGACGCCTACACAGGTAGGCCAGGTGAGTTGAGTCCAGGTGAGTTTCCAGGTGAGTTTCCAGGTGAGTGCAGCTGTCAGCTGTTGCTGTTGCCAATCAGTGCGAGCGGGACGGAGAAGGAGAGGGAGGCGGAGACGGAGATGGAGATGGTGTCTCAGCCTCGACTGGTTTTCATTTCGGCTTGGAAAAACCACACATTGGCATTGCCCCGTTGCCATTTTTAGTGGCAAAAACTGACTGCATCATAATGAAAGTGAAATGCATTGCGCAGATGGCGATGGCGATGGCGATGGCAGTTACCAGATGCAACACCGCCAGGCAAGTAAGTCAAGTGCAGCAGCAACAGCAACAGCAACAGCAGCAACAGCAGCAGCAGCAACTGCAACATCAACTGCACTTGTTGCAACATGAAGTGCCGACTGAAACGCGGAGCGGATTGGATCGTATCGCTGCGGATTGGAATGTGCGCGCGTCACCGACATCTCCATCTCCAACTCCATTTCCATTTCCATTTCCATCGCCAACTGAATTCGGCACCATTCAGTTAATTGGCTAAATGCGAAAAGCGCTAAGCAAAGCACACACTTTGCATGCACCGACAAAAAAATTGATTGAATTCAATAATTCATAGATATTATTTTTAAATTTTCCGAAATCATTAAATAGGTATTGATAAAGTTAGGTTACTAAAGACCTTAATAAATATATGTTGGTAAAGTTAGGATACTAAAAACCTTAAGGCCCTATAAAATGTGATTTTTGACCAACTGACTAGGTTTATTAAGAAAAGGTTTGGCAACCTATCATGATTTAAATTATAAATGAATGAAATTGTGTTAGCCAGTTAGTCATAGTCCATAGGTCAAACAAACCGTAGGTTTTATCTCCAAATTGTATACTGTTTCTGAATTAAAAACCTTAACATGTGGATTTTAAAAACACATAAAAAAATCTCCTTGACAGTTGCAAGTTAAATAACATAGTTTTATTACAGTTTGAGTAACTTAGGTATTTTAAAACTTATATAAAAAGAAAATTTTCTTAGTCTTGTATTTAACATTTAAATACATTTTCCACAAATATCAACATCAACAGCATGTACCGTACCCGTACAATGTACAACTTACAATGTACATTGTACAATGTATATGCCTCCATTTATAGCCAGTGTTCAATGTCAGATCGGCGCCGAAGGTCGTTGTCGGATGCAACGCGCGGGTTTCATCTGGTTTCTTCGCTCGGATGTTTATCTCCATCGCCAGCATGAATATGTATCAGCATCTGCATCTGTATCCGTATCTGCATCTGAAACTCGTGCCAGTGTGTGAGTGGAGTTCTGGACCAGTGTAATTGATTCGAATAGCATGGAAAACTTGACATTGAGACAAGCAATTCGCATTGTGGTAGGACCACGATAACTTAACCTTAAGCACACATACTTGCAGCAAGCAAACTATAAATATAACATATCAGGGAACAAGATTGCAGACTTACTGGAAATCAATTCAATTCTTGGTACTTGGTATCGGAAGCCATTCTTATATATGGAAATAACAACATTGTGAAGTATCAATGATAGCCCTAAAAAAAACATAAAATTTATAACCTAATAATATTGCAAAGAATTCTGCAACAAAAACGTTGATGACATAGGGTCCCAAATACTCAAAATATAAAATAAATGTATAATAAATGTTTTTAATAGTATAAGCAAAATCAAAAATCCCCAAAATAATTGCATAAATTCATCGACTCACCTTTCGCAGTGGCAGTTTCTCCCGCATATTTTAGGCGCATGCTCGACTCAATCAAGTCACAATAAATTAACCTCTATTTGTAAGCCAAGTGAATAATGCGAATAGCTAACAAACAGACAGCTGAACACAATGCAACATCAATTCACTTTTTTTTGGTCACATTTCACTGATTTTGAAAGTGAACGTTGTGGCAGGCGGCGGCGGCAACTGGCGGAATCACGATTTTGTGGGCAGCACAAATCTCTCCATCTCCCTCGGCAGTACAGTGGGTACGGGGTATGGTGACTAGGTGTTTGCAATTAAGTTTTGTGTTTAAATTAAGTAAATAGATTGCCAGGAGTGAGCATACTTACAAGTCCTTTATTTGAGATACTTATAGTTTAAAGTTAATTCTTATCGACTTGTTGGGCTTGCTTTTCTGCATAATTAGAGTGATTTATTGAATATAAAAGGTGAATAGTTGCAAAAAGAAGTTAGCCACTTAATCGGCTGCCTGTGCAGTGGATATTCCTACTGTTTTTATTGGCAACTGCGTGGGTGAAATCCAGCAGACATAAATTTGGCGTCGTGTAGCTGCCGTTTTTACTTTTCCAGTGCGAGCAAATGAAGCGAAACGTGGGTTACACTTTTTTCCATTTGCCTCTGCCTTTATTTATTTTATTTCATCTTTTTTTCTATATTTTTTTTTGTTTTTTTTTTTTCGGCATGCATCTACAGCTGCATATCTTTTTGAGTTACATATTTGTAACGTCTGCGGCCGAATAGACAACGAGGTGGATGTGAATGTGGCTGAATGGAGCTGCGTAGGCCGCTCTGCATCAGGTTGACCCAGTTTTCGCTTTCTGTCTCCGTTTTGGCCTGGGTTTTTTTTTGTGATTTTTTTGTGAAAATTATACGATTTGCAACCCGCTGCAGACTTGTCCCATGTTTGTCCGTTAATTTATGGCACTAGTTGCAGCTCAATCAATTTAACACACATTCGTCTCGATCCAATCGCAGCTGGCCAGGGCACTTATTCAATTAAGCGCCACGTAACTCTGCCAGCACAATGCAATTGCACTCGGATTCCTACTAAACTAGTTTCTTATTCTTGTCACTTTTGTGGATATCGCACATTTGATACAATGAAACGGATGCGACAATGCTGGAAAGGGCAGTAATGTGCAGTGCTTTCGATTGTACGCATCTGTTATGATTGCATACTTTAAGCCAATGGGCGTATACGCGATGAGGTTACACAAATAGATAATACGCCATGTGCGACAAGGTGGTAAAGCTCGATAACAGCCCTACAATACCTTTTAAGTCATTTTTGTAATGTTAGATCAAATAAAAAATCGAAAATCTAGCAAAGCTTGTTTAATATTTTATATGTGAACCTAATAATGACGGACATATAGGTTTTATTTTTAGTAATCCATAAATAAATACATATAGTAAGTTTCTTGATTTATTATAATACTATCATCAACAGGTTATTTGTCTATAATTAAAAGCACTTTTAATGGTTTTTGTATTAATAGGTCTATTAACCATTTAAGTTGGTAGTAGTTAAAAATAAATTCAGTATCAAATGATAAATCAATCTAAATTGCTATTGAATATGTATCAAGTAGTACGGATTTGAAATTTGATTGTATGAACAATGTTCATTGAACATATTTCCCATTAGTCCAAACTATTTCTAGACCCGTGAATCA